TTTGCATTTCTGACAGATGCATTTTCAACCATTTTTAACGTTAAGTGTTTCCACACAATGCTTTCACTCTTTACATGCGCAGTCTTTCCTTCCTTCAATATTGCCGAATAATCGAGAAGGAAAATTTAAATCGATGCTTATATATAATCAAGTAATTGACTTTAATCAAGTAATCGTAACAGCTCTACTTAGTAGAATTCACTACAAGTTATTATTATTATTATTATTATGATTATTCTGCGTGCCATTTACGTTGGAGGTCAGAAGTCAGAGCTGGGAATGACACCACATACAAGTTAACCGCTTTCCAGTACAGCAAATCAGAAAACCATTTACCAATATCACAGACCTGTTTCAAAAAACAAGATTTCTTGCTCAGTCGGATAACTTATCGGATTTACTTTACCCCAGTTTAAATGGCCTTTATCTTCGTTCACTTACATTTAGCCCAAATTACATTAAATCCGACAAGCTATCCGGCTAAGCAAGAAATCTCAGGCTGTATTCCACAAAGCAGGGGGTATTCCATGAAAGTAGCTAAAGAAAGCCAGACTTTCCCGAAAAAGTCAGACTCAAACTAGCACCATCTCTAAACTTAGCCTCATGTTGTTCCACTACCGCAATTCAGCTTTAACTAATCAAGGCTCATACAAGACAGACTTGCATGGTCTCATCTTACATATTTAAGAAGCCCAAATTAATGGATGTACGATAGATCGATCGAAATGAGTCGAAAAGCATGTAAAACAAGAGATGGTTTTTTTCTGCCGCAGAACAAATGCCACTGATGGAGCTGTATGAAGATTACAAAGATGTAATCGCTAAAAAGGCAATAATGTGGCCATAAATAAAGCCAAGGAGTTGGCTTGGCGAAGAATTGCAGATAGACTAAATATTTAAGTTATGTAAATGTTACAAGTGTTTAGTAAAGTGGCATGGTGGTGCAGTGGTTCATGCTGTCGCCTTGCACCGCGAAAGTTCCTCGTTCAATCCCCATAGTCAACGGGGAGCCTTCCGGGTTTAAATGGACTTCATATTCATTCACTTACATTTTGCACAGACTACCTTAAATCTGACAAGTTACCCCGATAAGTCAGTAATCCCGCTTCATAGTACAAGCCCCTGGTCCAGAGCGGACTTGTTCACTTGCCTAAGTTACCATAGTAGCTCAGTGGGGATTCATTTAAGACACATTGATGGAAGGGAACTCCCACTTAAATGAGCCAGACTTGTCAAAATAAGTCAGACTTTCCCTTAATCCTGCTACATTGGAATACCCCCCTGCTTTGTAGAATAGCTTTCTGCTTTCTGAAACAGGTTCCAGTTCTAGCCCAATTAATTGTTAGCCATTGTTAGCAATATCAGTTGATAACAACACATTACGTGGTATTTTGCACATAAAAACATGATAGCAGCTCGACCACAGATAGTGGTTGGACAGTACAGTGTGTTTGACTGATTTAATGAGCCACAAATAAAACACAAGTGCTAATGAACAGTAAAAAACTACACTTTAACTTCTGTTGATAAAGGGCGCAGCCATCTTGAATTCTGAGGTCGGGGTTGGGTAGATTCCTCTGACTTGATGAGTCAGAATTCCGACTTCAGGGGGCGTTCTATTTGAAATTTCCAACTAGGAACTTGGAATTTCCAAGTTGCAAGTTCAAATGGAACCCAGCATGAACCATGCGTCACACATTATATTTACTAATTTAACAGACATGCACAGCTAGGAGTCAATTTGCCATAAGCACAGTTAAGCTGAGCTTCCAGTGAATGTCCAGGTACAAATATAAGCAGTTTTGGAGCAGGAGCTATCCAATGGCTACACAACTGCACATATAACTACAGTGGTTCCTCAGAACTCAAACTTAATCCGTTCAGAACTCCAGATCTAATCCTAAAACGTTTGAGTTCTT